TTTTACGGAATGCTGTTTAACGACATGACCAACTTTTCCTCCATCGCCCTCTTGAATATCTCGAGGTGTAATTCATTATCTGGTCCGTGTAGTCCTGTACAGACTTGTCCAGGAACAGCCGTTCATCTGGCTTACATCTCGGTCATCTGTGTGGTAGGAGTGATTGGTAATATTCTATTACTCTATGCTGACTACAAGGARTGGAAGAAGAGTAAGACACCTGATAAACTGTTGATTCTCAATTTAGCCATGACTAACGTCGCTGCTTTATTGGTTAGTTTACCATTACATGCTGTTCTCGTAGCAAACTATCAGAATTACCTGAAGTGCTCTGGCTTTCTATATCAGTATCGTTCAGCTCGGTTCTTTTTGATCTGTCTGTTTAACTTCGTGACTCTAGGCACGCTACTTGTGATAGGAATCGACAGATACGAAGCTCTAACAAAGTTTGCTCACCAACGAACTCTAGATGTAAAAAGGTCTATTTTTGCCATTTGTTTGGTGTGGTTGTGCTCCATTATAGTCGTAGTTGTATTCATAGTTACTTGGCCAAACCAATGTACAGACTTTTATTCACCTCGTTTAGAAGACAGAAACACTGACAACTTTTATCCGATGAGAATAACCATCATATCGATATGGATAACTGTCTGTTGTACAGTAACCGGTACATCTTTATTAATGGCTGCGAGTCACATTCGCAAGCACCGACAAGAGATCAATGCCATGTTTGGTGCAGTGCAAGCAGCAGCACAGATCAGTTTTACCAAGGGTGTCATTGCTTTATCGCTATGCTACGTCGTACTCTGGATACCTTATGGGGTATCATCAGCCATTTTTTCTTCTGATCGGCACAATGTAAAATTCGAGTGTTCTTTATTATGGACAATTTCTACTTCTTATTTAAGTTTCAGTGTTCTTCCAGTAATCTATTTCATTGTAGACAACAGACTACGACGATCCATTCTACCGGAGGTGGTTGTTGCACCCGATGCTGCGAACACCCCGAGTAACATTGCACAACCCAAGGAAAATTAAATCTTGCTCAAACGAAAAAAGTGAAAAAATGATATTCTTGTATAGGAGTCCTTTTTCTGCTCATTATGTATGCCTTGTGATTGCAAGAGGGCAACTTGCCATACATAATATATTTATATTTTGTATTGCCTTAACATATAAGAAAATCACATTCTAAAAGCAATTTACATAATTTGCTGAACGGGTTTTCGTCTGTGTTCTTGGGTTTCTCTCCCGCAGTAAAAATCAACATGTGTTGCGTGTGTAGAACATACCATGTTATGTAGTGGTAGTGCGTGTGAGTGAAAAAGTGACCCTATATAGTGTAAAAGTGTAGACTAGACACTAATCGAAATGTATTTAATAAAAGAACATCTACTGAGGCCACATTGCATCGTTCAAAGACTACAAAATTCGAAATGTTCAGTTAAATTCTGACTGTAAATTTTGTAAAGCCCCGTAAAAGCCCCGTTTACACTAGCGAGTTTTGCGTCGATTTTTGCTGCGATTTTTTCGGCAATTCTGTCCATAATAAATAATGGTAAAGAATTTACTTGTAAAGTTTTATTCCGGATACCAAGATTTTCCTAGACGAATGTCTTATTTGAAGGGTGAAACAAAAGATTTTATATTTCCGAAAATTGCTACAAAAGTCGCCGCAAAAATCGCCAGTGTAAACGGGGCTTAAGGCTAAATTTAATTACTGTCTGTATAGGTGTTCTGGACGTACTCGTTTGGTACGGCATTGGATGTCCAAAATATCGACAGTATACCTGGCAAGTTTTCGTATTTGATAAGTGACCACCTGTCTTGACTGACCCCCTGTCCTGACTGACGGCCTGTCTTGACTGACCCCTTGTCCTGACTGACGGCCTGTCTTGACTGACCCCTTGTCCTGACTGACCGCCTGTCTTGACTGACCGCCTGTCTTGACTGACCGCCTGTCCTGACTGACCGCCTGTCCTGACTGACCGCCTGTCCTGACTGACCGCCTGTCCTGACTGACCGTCTGTTCTGACTGACCGCCTGTCTTGACTGACCGTCTGTTCTGACTGACCGCCTGTCTTGACTGACTGCCTGTCCTGACTGACCACCTGTCCTCCCTAGCCCCCTCTCCTTACTGACCCCCTCTCCTGTCTGGCCACTTATCGTGACTAACCACCTGTCTTGACCGACCACGTCTGTTGACTGACCACCTGTAATGACTAATCACCTCTCTTGACTGAGCACTTGTCTTTACTGATCAATTCACCTGACTGACCATCTCTCTTGAATGACCACCATTCTTGACTGGCCACCTACCTTCACTTACCACCTTTCTTGATTGGTAACCTACCTTCACTTACCAAGTCTCTGGACAGATCACCTGTTTTGACAGACCACCCATCTAGACTGACCATTTTCTAACGTTTGTCTAATATTTATTTGTAGGTAGCAGTGCCAAGAGGCGTAGGATGGACATTGGTTTACATGTTCTTAGAGAGAACCTTGAAAATAGCACAGAAGGACCTGCAATGATATCTTGGTAAGAGCATTTGCTCTAAAATAAGAATGATAGTTGATATGTTGAACTTCAAGATAATATTGGAGATAATGATGATTAGTAATGATTATGTTGATAGTGATGGTACTGATAGAGCAGTTTTCGTATGATTKTGAAAWGCTCACRGCACGAACACGGYCRTRACACRGCAAGGSRTACGCCAGACCAATMACTTTGCGCGAGAATTTATTCTCCATCCCATCGAATACCCGGAACATGGCATTAACGCGGCGCGGACACGGTCACGCCAAGGYCACGGCACTGTCAGACCAATCACATTGCGCGTGAAAAAAATCAGCCAATTAAAATTCTTAAAACTCACGGTTAAGGCACTGCTCACTTACGGCACTGCGCTTTTCACAGTCATGCGAAAACTGCTCTAATAATGGTAATTTTAGAGATAATGCTGATCATGGTAAGACAGTGATGATGATTCTAGTGCTGCCTTATGATGTTGCTGATTAAGMTGATGCTGATAAAAGTGTTAATGTTTATGTTGAATGATGGTAGTGATGATGTTGGTGGTAAAGTTGATGACATTATGATAATGGGGAGTAATAGTAATTGGTTAATGAATAATAAGTTCTTAAATAGCATACAAATGCATTGTAATGGCCTTCACAATCTTTGCTTTTCAATCGAGGACTTCACAGGTTTTCATGGAGTTCACACAATAATAAGAAGTGATTAGCAATTAGAATGTTATACCTCCAACAGCAATAGGCTGCTGAACTGGAAGACAATCCTCTACTCTTAAGCAAATAGTTCAACAGGTTCTTTAATGTCTTCCAAATACTGGTTAAGGAAGAGATGGGAGAAAAGACCTACAGTGTAATGTCCTTTTCCGAAACAGAAAATCTGATGGAAATGATTGATGCAGTTGCAAAGTTTGATGATGGGCAATAGTATAATACTTATAGCTTTTGGTACGTATTGTTTTTCAATTATCTTTTATCAGGTTGCAAGTCCTTGCTGTGCTGTTTCTCAAGCATCCATCCAGTCTTCCTGCCATTGAATGTCATCCAATACTCTCAGCTCTACATCAATTACAGACTAACTGCAAAAGGTGTCAAACTTRTTTTCATCGTTTAGTCCCAGTGAATGTTTTCTTGAGAAAAATCTGCYGTTTTCCTTGACAGCTGATTCAATTTGTACAGGTTTACAGAGAATATCATTCATAAATGTCAACTGTAATGCAAAGAATAGACGACTTGCACTAACCCCTACCCCCTACCACCCTACCACCCTACCCCCTACCACCCTACCCCCTACCACCCTACCACCCTACCCCCTACCACCCTACCCCCTCAAAACGAGCAGCTGTTAACTCGAAATAGACAACAGAAAGCAGCTGTTGTCAAAATAAACGACAAAAACAATAAGGCGAATTTTTATTTATTCGGTTAGGCCTACCGTCCACACYAGTCCGGGCGAATCCGGAACAATTCTTCACCGAAAACGAATTTTTTCGAATACGGTCTCCAGAGTGGAACAATTCGAAAACGCCGGCTAGCTGTATTAGTGTGGATGGGAACATGGTGGGAAGGCTAAGAATTCAACGCGGGCTCAAGTTCAGCTTCGATGCACATGCCCRGGTGTGAAATGAAGCGTTTTTGCCGCCTCTGATCGGACTAGTGTGGACGGGAAACATTTTATCCGTTTTCATGTGTGGACGGAAACCTTTTTTTTCGGTTTCGGTGTGAAAATTACGGATTCAAATTTATCCGGCATAGTGTGGATGGRGCCTAAGAGGACCTGGAGAGGCGAAGTTTTAGCACTAAGAAATGGCATTAAATATAAAATGAAATGTTTTATAGAGATTTGAATGGAAGTCTTTACACAATATTGGATTTTAGATTTAATCCCATTTAGGGAATGCTCGCAGTCTAGACCTTCGTATTTCTTGTACAGAGTCAATTCAAAAAAAATTGTCTTCGACCAGCTCAAGTCTACGTGACTGGACCGAAAGAGAATATGGATAAAAAATCACTGAAGCAGATAATTATTTCTCCTGTTCCCACTAGTAATAAGATAATAATGGCAAGCAACAACCCATCAAATTTATTTCTTTTGATTTAGGGAAAGAAAAACTAAGTATTAATCCTACTAACCC